GTATAGCGGAAAGGAACCAAGAGGTAGGAGGAGGGAGGGAAGGGGAAATACTGGGGTATGATATTGATCAGATTGTATTGTTATATTGTGTGCATGTATGAATATGTAACCACAAATCCCACCAATATGCATAATTAAAATGCACCAATAAAAATACGGGGAGAATGAAATACTACTTCATATCCATAAATTGGATAATATAAAAAAAATGAAAAATTTCTTCAGAGGCAAAAACTACTAAATAATACCCAACAAATATTTATCCTGAGTGGCTCTATTTATTTATTATTTATTTACTTATTTTTATTCTAATTTATTATATATGACAGCAGAATGCATTACGATTCATATTACACATATAGAGCACAATTTTTCCTATCTCTGGTTGTACACAAAGTATATTCACACCATTTGTGTCTTCATACATGTACTTAGGGTAATGATGTCCACCTCATTTCATCATCTTTTTTTACCCCCATCCTCCCTCCCTTCCCTTCCTACCACTCTACCCTATCTAGAGTTCATCTAATCCTCCCATGCTCCCCCTCCCAACCTCACTATGAATCAGCCTCCTTATATCGGAGAAAACATTTGGCATTTGGTTTTTTGGGATTGGCTAACTTCACTTAGCATTATCTTCTCCAACTCCATCCATTTACCTGCAAATGCCATGATTTTATTCTCTTTTATTGTGAGTAATATTCCATTGTGTATACATACCACATTTTCTTTATCCATTCATCTACTGAAGGGCATCTAGGTTGGTTCCACAGTTTAGTTATTGTGAATTGTGCTGCTATAAACATTCTGTGTCCTTGTAGTATGCTGTTTTTAAGTCCTTTGGGTATAGACCAAGGAGAGGGATAGCTGGGTCAAATGGTGGCTCCATTCCCAGCTTTCCAAGGAAATCTCCATACTGCTTTCCATATTGGCTACACCAATTTGCAGTCCCACCAGCAATGTATGAGTGTGCCTTTCCCCCCACATCCTCACCAACACTTATTGTTGTTTGTCTTCATAATAGCTGCCATTCTGACTGGAGTGAGATGAAATCTTAGAATAGTTTTGATTTGCATTTCTCTAATTTCTAGAGATGATGAACATTTTTTGATATATTTGTTGATTGATTGTACATCATCTTCTGAGAAGTGTCTGTTCAGGTCCTTGGCCCATTTATTGATTGGGCTATTTGCTTTTTTTGGTGTTTAGCTTCTTGAGTTCTTTATATACCCTAGAGTTTAGTGCTCTATCTGATGTGTGAGGGGTAAATTAAATCTTCTCGGCAAAAGAAACAATCAGTGAGGTGATTAGAGAACCCACATCCTGAGGCTCTATTTCTGTTAAAGGGATCGTGTTTCTTGTTAAAAACTTTCAACAAAGTTAACTAGAAACCTGGATGGGTTCACTGGATATAAAAAAGGGGGCAGTTTTGAAGGGGAAGAGGATTTGTCTTCATTGCTTTGACTGTAGTCATGCTTTCATGGATATACATGTCATTATTTATCAAATTGTACATTTTAATTATGCACAGGCATTGTATGTGAATTATACCTCAATAAAGCCAATTCAAGGGGAAAAAAAAGTGGCTCCAAATCTCGGAGCCATTGTCAATGGATTTCTCATTCTCAAATGTAATCAGCTGCTTCCAATGTTGACCAATGACCATCTTCTCCTTTTGCAAACAAGCATTTCTTTTGAGCAAAAATTACCTGTTTCACATTTTGTTTGCAAATTCTAGTGCTGTAACATCCAAATATTGGTGCTAGAAAGACAAGTGTGTGCAAGGGTGACACCTTTACAGGAAGGGAAGCAGCATGCGAGAGGCCAGCTCACCCACATGTGTTGGCATGGCTGGGACCAGCACCTGGCATGTTCTGTGGTCAACTAAGCGCTTTTCCCAGGGCCTCCATTGGGAGGTGAGTCCATGTTCCCTTTGCTCTGCCATTTACGGTTGCTTCCTTTGAGCTCATTGCCAGTTTGTCTCTTGGGGCTGGGGAGTAACCTTTCCGGTATGTTGGGGGTCATGTTCATGATCATATAGCTCCAAATCAATACCCGGGCTCAGTCAAGGGCAAATGTCTTAGCTTCTTTGAGCTCATGTAACATGGGGGAGAAGGCAGCCTATTTCATGGGGCTGCCTGGTATGTTTTCAGACTCTGTCATTCACCCAATTTGTTTATATATTCTACAGGGGCCAAGCCAGCCTCGGAATGGTCTCTCACCCTGGGTGGGCAGAATTGATACCCATTCCACTTACTTTATAGACCCTGAACCTGCTGGGGTATGGCTGGCTGGGCTGAGCTCAGCTCAGCTCCTCAGAAACAAATGGTACGGAGGGAAAGACGAATATGCTCAGCTTTCCAAAAGCAATCACCATGTGTGGTTATCAGAAAAATATTTCATTCAGCATCCTGGTGGAAGGAAGCAGAGATACAAATAAATCTGGAATTTATATTTTTCCTTGGGATAAATTATATGACATTAGCGGGTGCATAGCAGCTTTTCTTCCTGGATTATTTTCTGCACAGGTGACTACTAAAATGTACAGCTAGTCCCCAAGTGCCCATCAGCTCACAGCCTGGGGAGCCAGCCCAGAGGCCTGTGGATTTCATGGTTTGAGGGAGCGATGTGCGCTCACACAGAAACAGGAAGTCAACTTTGATTTTCATTTGTTAATGGTGTGAGAAGGCGCTGTCACTCTGTCTCTACATTGTGTGATCCAGCCACCTCAGGCAGTAATCTCCACTGTGGGGTCACCTGAAGAGGTACGGAGAGTAGGTGGCCTTGCTGAGCTGGGTTCCTTTCGAGCTGATCATGGCAACTAGTCCCTCATGGCCTAGCTTAGAAACTTCAGCCAGCTGTTTGTTAGCCAGTAGTAAAAACAGCAGCAGGGCTCTGCTGATTCTCAGATCTGGCGTCTACTGTGTGGGCCAGGTCTTGAAGCATGGGTACTTGGTCCATTCCCTTCTTTTGTTACACTGGCTTGGAGCAGGACAGCCATTTCTCCAGACCTGCTGATCCCAGGGAGGCAGGGCAGCCTCACACCAGCCCAGGGAGAGGGGAGAGGGAGGCAGAACACGTATTCTACCCATTAAGAGTCGCCTCCTTTGGCTGGGGTTATGGCTCAGTGGTAGTGCTCTTGCCTAGCCTGTGTGAGGCACTGGGTTTGATCCTCAGCACCACATACAATTAAATGAGATAAAGGGATTGTGTCCATGTACAACTCAAAAAGAATCCAGGCTAGCATTAGATACCTGAGTTTCCCAGTTGAGTGTTTGGAAACACACCACTTTCCTGCTTCTGGTTTAATGACTGGTAACATTTCCCATGGGGCAGTGGGGCCGGGGGGGGGGGGGTGGCAAATACCTACAGCTGTATCAGGAAGCAAATGAAGTCCTAGCCGTCTGACTTTGGGCCAAGTGTGTAACCGGGTCTCAAATACTCATCTGTGAGTCCCCATTGCACTCTATTCTTGTGGGGACTAAGTGAAAGAGTATAGGGGCATGTGGCACATTCTGTGTGCCCAGGTAATGCAGCTCTGATGCTTTTTCTGCTCATAAGTATCTTCTTAAACTTCTCCTTTTCAAGAACACCCTCTTTCCTAAGTTTCTAAAGTCTGGGGAAGAAAACAACTGCCAATCTCAACAGAAACCCGTGTCTAGGGCCATCCATGCCATGAGGTTCTTACCTCAGAAACAGAAGAGAGACCACAGGTTAGACCTGTATGGTCCTTTATCTCCAGTAGTGGCACTAATCAAAGTTATAGCCACACACTCTATTTCTTAGGTGTAATAAATTGGCTTAAAAAGCAAACATAGGGCTGGCGCTGTAGCTCAGTGGTCGAGTGCTTGCCTAGCCTATGTGAGGCACTGGGTTTGATCCTCAGCACCACATACAAATAAACAAATAAAATAAAGGCATTCTGTCCATCTACAACTACAAACAAATTAAAAAAAAAATTAAAAAAATTAAAAAAAAAATTAAAAAAAAAAAAAGCAAACTGAGCTAGGGATTTACCTCTATGGTAGAGCACTTGCCTAGCATGTGTGAGTCCCTGGGTTTGATCCCTAGCACTGGAAAAAAAAAAATCAGCTTTTTGTACAAACTGGAAGACAAGAGATTTGGAACATTTCTTGAGTCACATTAGACAAGAAACCAAAAAGTAACGTGTTTAGGAATACGTTCCCCAAACACCCACTCAACTGGGAACTCAAATGCCTGATGCTATCTGGATTCTTTACCAGAAGCTGACAGAGCTCAGAAATGTGCCAGAGCAGTGATGAGCCTGCTCCCTCCGCTGCTTTTATCTTCATGCTGGAGCCCAGAGTGTGGGTTTCATAGTGACCTGGAGGGCAAGGACATGCAGTATAGAATATGAGGCCCAACTCTGAGTCCATCAGAAGGAACACCCAAAGAGTTGTTTTTTTTTTTTTTTTTTTTTTTAATTTTTCTTAGCTGATTGGAAAGATAAAACAACTAGTCTCTAAAATCTTTAATTTATTTAAATCACATAAAAGTATTCCAAAGCCATAGGCATGATTATTTCCCAATAGAATCAAGAAGATTTTCAGTGTAGAAAACATCTCACGGAGATTTGAAATGTTTCACCTGTCATAAGCAACCAGAATTGACTCAGCCTTAGAGGACATTGCAGCTAAGCATGGGTTGTGCATCCCTCCTCCATGTCTCAGCTGACCATCCCTCTGGATGGTGGACACGCTCCTGAACAGCACCCCATCCAGAGGGATGGTCCACCTGGGCACTCACTAACCTGCTACTAAGTCAGCACAGCATTTACTTGCCTTTGACCCTTTCCCTGTGGAACATGACTTTTAGTACAAGCTCACGCAGTGAAACCACTATTAGTGTCGTAAAAGCAGCCTGTCTTCTGTTACAACCAAGAGGCAGCAGTGGTGGTCAGGGGTGGGGGTGAGGGCTAGGGGGCTTCTGAGTGCTGCCCACTGGGCTCACTCTCCCGCCATTCCTCTGTTCATGCTGGCTCAGTGTGTCCAGGTGGGTTTTCTTTTCTGGATAAAGGCCTTGATTCCCTCCTGTGCATCCCCCAGGGCCAGGTTGTCCACCATGGCCTGGGAGGTGAGGTGGTAGGCTGTACCAAGATCCTGGGTCAGCTGCTTGTAGAACATGGCCTTGCCCAGAGACATCACGGGGCGGCTCAAGGAGGCGATCTTCCTGGCTATTCGCATGGTCTCTTCCTCCAGCTGCTCTTCTGGCACGACTTTGCTGAGCAGCCCATGGAGCAAGGCCTGCTGAGCAGAGATGGGCTCCCCAGTGCAAAGCATCTCCAAGGCGACCTGAGGGAGGAAGCAGGCGAGGTCACGAAGGCACCCTTGGTACCCTGCTGCCACTTCAGGCCCCCTTTCCATTCCACTCTCTTGAGGCTGTTGCTCTCCTCGCTTAAACTACACCTCAGCCAGTTATCTGTTTCTCAAATGACATGTCATCCACCACCCCTGATGTTGTCAATACCCTGACTCCTGCCAGGGACGAGATCAGATCTTTCCAAGAGCAAAGAAAAGTAGCCAGGGAGGGGAAAGGACTCCGGTCCTGCACAGATCAGACCACTGACTCTCTCGGAGTCAGGAGATTCCACCTGCCTCTTTCAAGAGCCAAGCACAGGACAGTGGCCCATCTGATGGGAGGCCACTGCAAACATGCTGCAGAGAGGCCCATTACCTGCCACAAACCAATGCAGGGGGCGGTCTCCACCCGGAGACAATCCACAGGTGCTGTTACCTCTATATGACCCAAAAGAACACCCTCCAGTCGGGGAGAAGAGGGAAGGACATTTAAAGAAAACGTCTTCCAGGATCAGATGTAGAACCTAGCATGTCCTTAACTTGCAATCAGGTAAGAGGTGACAGGGACAGGATGGCTCTGCCCTCCCACAGCCCTTTCCACAGATGTCAAGGCTGTGGAAAGAGGGAGTACCCCTCACTCTCTGTCTGGTCTTCTATTCAACAGCCTGTCACAAACTGGACCTGGATCTGTAAGTCCTCCATAAAGAGGAGTCCCCAGGTGCAGGGGGCACAGCGCAGGGGAACCTTCCCCTCCCCACACTTTTCACTCCCTCTCTGGTAGCATCTTTGTTGTTCCTTAAACTCGCCAAGTGTGCGGTCACCTCAGGGTCCTGTTTTTGCTGTTCCCTGTGCCTGGACGTCCTCTCCCAGGTGTCCTCATGGCCTGAATCTTCATCTCAGTCTCTGCTCGTGTATCGCCTTATCCATGACCCTCCAGGATCGCAACATTAGAATTGTCAGATAACCCCCAACACTGTCCCCCTTTCTGGCTCTATTTTTATCTTTCCTGCTTCTCATCATTTAGCGCACTGTATATTTTACATGCTTATTTGTTGATGGTTTATTTGTTGATTTGCTAGCATGTAAACTTTGCTAGAACAGGAAATGTACTTATTTATTTCATAGTGTTCTAAATACTTGTGAAGGCAGGCAGCCAGGCAAGAGTTGGCTATTGGTGGCACCGAGGACACGCCAAAAAGGTGCTACCACTTCCACCTGGCTCTTTCTCTTAGGCTGCTTAGTCTGGGAACCTGGCCACACAGAGGGGTTGTGCTAAATGAGCCAGCTGACAACCCCCACTGAGGCTCAGCTGAGGGGCCGCCTCAATAGCACCTTCAGATGAGTCCCCCAGCAGAGGCCATGGCACTGTGGAGCAGAGATAAGCCTTGGTGGCTGAGCCCGTCCAAATTGCCAATTCATGAGCTAACCAAGTTATTGTTGTTTTGAGCTACGAAGTTGTGGGTGGCTTGTTGTGCAGTAATAGATAACTAGAATTGCTTGCTATATGAATTTAGGAACCATTGGCCTTTAGAGCAACCTTGGTGATAATGACATTGTGGGCCAGAGAAGTTTTTGTTGTGTGGAACTGTTCTGGGTATGTAGGCAGTTCAGCAACATCCCTGACATTTGCCTGCTAGTTGTGACAATTAAAAAAAAAAAAATGTCTCCAGATATTGCCATGTGTCCCTGAGACCAGAACTGCTCCTGGTTTAGAACCACTGATCTAGATGGTCTCTCTGTCATGAGACTATATTGGATCACCTAGGGATCAAGATTTGATGGAGAGGAGAGGCCAGAAACCTGGCCAGAGGGCCTCTTCTCTATTCAGTGCCCGTGGAATCCCCACCCACTGGACTGGCAGTCAGGGACAGGTGATGTTGGTGTAAAGTTAAGGCCGTGGACTAAATCCCAACTTCTACTCTTTCAGAGAAGTAATCTGTTGGAGGGAGTGGGAATGTGACACCGTACGTTGCTTCGGGCAGACGACCAGAAAGAGCACCATCAGGGATGCCTGTCTGAACCCCTGGCTGAACATGGAGCTAAAAACTGGGTCCTGCTATTAATGGCTACTGAACTTGACCCTGCTGAAGACACCCAGGGGGTCACAGCAGCAGGAGCAGGACAACATTCTGCTCCATCTCTGCCCCAGATCCTTAAGTCAGCTGGGACCCAGAGTAGAAGTCAAAGTAGAAAATTGTCACTGCATAGCTAAGTGGCCTTTTTCCTTCATCGACACATGTGGCTCTTGAGGAATTCATGGGCACCACGTAATGGGAAGTGGCCACCTGAAAAATGCATGCCACATTGGAAAAAACTAACCAAACAACAAAGAACAAGAGCCGGTCAGGCCCTGAGTCCTTCATCACTTGGCATGACCAAGATCTCAAATGAGTTTCAAAGAGTAGTTGAGAATGGGATCAGAGCTGGGAGAGAAAATGGTAGCAGTGCCCCTTCCTGGCTGGCTCAGCAGAGGGCATTTATTCCTTCCCATGCAGTGGGAATGGCAGTTTGGGCTGATGATTTGTCCGTGGGCACTGTCCCCTTATCAGGCACCTTCTGGCAGATGCCCTTCTCAGTGACTCTTTTTCCTTTCATGTTGCTCTGCCTCCCCTGAGTCTCCCTTTCTCTCTGTTCACCTTGTCCAGGGCCCCACTGTGCCATTTTAAATCACCTGGCAGCCTCAGATATTGGAGATCGACAGGATTCCAGGTGTGCCAAGACAGTTTCAGTGCAAACCTTTGGAGTTCAAGCATGGGGCAGGCTGCAGGCAGGGGTCCACACCTGCTGGGTGCCCAGCCTCTGAAAGACCCTGGGGCAAATTGCTTGTCACCTCGCACTTCCTCAACAGGAACCCGTGGGTACAAATGACTGTCTCCTAGGATTGTTGTGAAGAAGAGCTAACTGATGTTGACAGGGCATACTGTCACATCAAGTGCAGTGGAGATGCTAGGAAAAATGGTTCATTTGGGCAAAACATGGATCAGAAGAAATTGTGATGATTTGCTTGCAGGAGACAAGTGCAACGGACTTGGCATGAACCATGTATATGAAGGAAGGTGACCGGCTTCTGTGAGGGGGAACTCGAATCACACGTCCTCTGGTTCATTCCTTCAACAATATCTGTATAGAGAACCTACTGTAGTCAAGTGCTGTGCTATGGACTGAGAGGTGGCCCCCTGCCAAGTTTATAAGTTGAAGCCCTATGTCCCAGCATGATGGTATTTGGAAATTTGGTCTAAAAGGAGGTAATACAGGTTAAACGAGGTCATAAGGAAGGAAGGGGTCCCTATATGATGGGATTGGTGTCCTTATGAGAAGAGACACCAAAGCTCACTCACTCTCCACCATATGGGGGGGCACAGTGTGAAGGTGGTGTTTGTTATGGCAGCCAGAGCTAATCCACAGGAATACTATATATATATATATCTTAATTCTGGAGCGACTCCAAAAACTTGCTTAAAACAGTGAAAATAGGGCTGGGGTCATGGCTCAGGGGTAGAGCACTTGTCTAGCATGTGTGAGGCACAGGGTTCGATTCTCAGCACTGCATATAAATAAATAAAGATCCATTGACAACTAAAAATAAAAATAAAAAAGCGAAAATAGCTAATAAATCTCTAAGTTGAATCACTTCCAGAGAAAGTGGAATTCTACCTCCTGGAGATGCAGGAATAGTGCAGAACCCTCATTTGTCAGGCAGAGAAAGTTCTGCTTACAGTAGAAGCAAGAATTCAACAATCTCTTACATTCTTTTCTGCATTAAAGATCCTAATGTTATTATAGGACCTCTAAAAGTAAACAAGCAGGAAATGAACTTGAGCTATTACATGAGGGATTTCAACTAAATAGAAAAACGATTTTCCCTCACCCTTCAATTAGCCAATTAGAGAAGGACAAGCAGCCAGACATACAGACTTCTGCCAGCCTGCAGTATTGTGATGATTAAAGGTAACAGATGTAAAACTCATGATGCAGTGCTGGGTGCTCAGTCAGTGCCCAATAAATGCAGCAGCTAATATTCCTATGACTCTCTGACGTTGGCTTCTAGGCACTGAAGTCCTGGAAAGGGGATGATTGTTTGAAGCAGGGGTGTCACAGGGCTCCCTTAAGTAACACAGCTGACAGGATTGTGTACTATAGCACCCTGGGTTATCTCTCCTCACACTGTGCCCTTTGAATGTGCATGGTGTCCTAGTCCATTCAGGCTGTTATAAGACAGAATACCATCAACTGGGAAGTTCATCAGCCACAGAAATTTATTTTTCACAATTCTGGAAGCTGGAAAATCCAAGATCAAGTTAAAATCAGACTTGGGGTCCTGTGAGAACCTTCCAGGTTCATAGACTGATATTTTCTCCCTATGTCCTCATGGGGAAAATGGGCAGGACAGCTGTGTGGGGCCCCTTTTATAAGGGCACTAACCCCATTCATGAGGGCCCCACCATCGTGACCTCAACACCTCCCAAAGCCTCACCTTCTAAGGCGATCATCACTTTGGCGATCAGGTTTCATCGTAAGAAGTTGGGGGAACAGGAGCATTCAGACCATAGCACTTGTCTCCCAGGATGCAAGGTGGCAGGGAGGAAGTGAGCACTGGAGGAAAGGGGAGGGGAAACAGAGCAGAACCCACAGGTGTGCACACGTGTTCCCGCTCACCCACAGCACTGGCAGTGCCAGTGCATAGGAGCCACCAGGAGGCAAGCTCCAGAGAAGAAGCATTCCCAGTGGAGGGTCATGGGCCTAACCCAACTGGGAACACAAGAAGCGTTCCTGAAACTCTTCTAGGAGCTCTTGAGCTGCATGTTCTCTAAGGCTGTACCTCCCAAGCCCTGATGTCCCTACCAGTCACTGCTAATCTGCAGTCCGTCTGCAGCAGGCCTGAGATGCTGCCTACCTCAGGCTTTCTGCTGAGCAGTAACAGACAGCGGCAGAGAGCCAACACTCTTTCCTGCTTGGAAATTCTACCCTGTTCCCATTAGACTCTTAGGAAATCAGATTCACACAGACACATGAAATTAAAATGCATAAACGGTTGGAAGCAAGGGCTCCTACCATGGTGAAAGGACTGGTTTGGGAAGTGATTTTTAGTTTTTCTCTTACTCTCCGGGGATAACTGACTGTGTATTTATGAATGAGGCCTGCCCTGACTGGGGAGGGCAACAGCTGTACCAGGCTGGGTACCCATATGGCTCAATGAAGAGGCATTATTTAACTCATGCCAAAGGAGAGAAGCACTTCACAAATGAGCAAGATCATTCATGCCCAGACTCAGTCTGGTTTGACCACAAGGGCAGTTAGTTCACAGTCTAGGACACAGCCAAGCAGGTTCCCAGAGTGACCAGCAGAGGGCACTAGTCAACCACACATGTCCTCAGCCTGTGTGAAAAGGGTTGGGACTTCCAGTCCAGTCCAATTTGCAAAAGCACCTGCTCCCTACCTGAGAAGGAACAGAGGGACTTACACACTTGCTCCACAGACCTGTGTGTAATGTGCTAGCATGAGTGTAATCAAGAAAAGATGATAGTGCTTTTCGCTGGGTTTAGATTTTTTCGGTCAGGCTTAGTTGTTTTTTTTTTTAATATTTATTTTTTAGTTGTAAGTGGACACATACTTTTATTTTATTTTATTTTTTTATGTGGTACTGAGGATCGAACCCAATGCCCCACGCATGCTAGGAGAGCTCTCTGCCACTGAGCTACAGCCCCAGGCTTATATTTTATGAATCCCAAATGTTTCTTCCTAAAGCAGGACACACATGCCACCTCTGCAGATCCAGAAACCTGGCAAAGGTCTTACGTTCTGACTGTTCCTCCTAAAAATTCCCTCTATCAATACTGCAATAATCACTAATGAGCCATTTCTGCTCATTAGTGTTGACCCCAAATCATATTCCAGATTCATGCCCCCAAGTAGTCCAGTATTAATGAGTCCATTGCGACAGGACTATGAACTGTTTTCAGCTGCTGATTAGGGAAAAAAAAACACACACAAAAAAACTGAGGTTTTGAGTCAAGTGACTCAGAAGCCTTCTGGGGGTCAGAGCACAAGACCCAGAATCTGAGTTAGACAATTCAGGAGATTCTTTGCCCCATCCTCTGGGAGGCCTGGCTCTTTGACCAAACTGTCTCTGGGAGGGAAAAGCCACCTTGATTCTTACAACCTCCCTGTACCTTCATCTGTCACACTGGACAACTGTACAATGAGGTTCTGAGAACTGGGCTTCCTGGATCGTAAGTCCTACCTTTTTTTTTGGTCACATTTACCCCTCTATCTTCTCAAAAACTAATTTAAAATTTCATTAATATGATACAGTGTTAAGTTTCTAATAAGCCTTGATTTCAAAAGTTTATTTTAAGAAAAAATGGGTTTTTTATCCTGACACTATGACTGATTTAAAGGTTTCAAATGCTTTACCATGGAACCTTCCAGCAAGTCAGGTGTTGAAGAGGATGCACAGCTACCTGGCAGTACACCTGCTTTTTGGTATGCAAAGTCTTCATGATTTGATTTGCAGCTAGAATATAGTTAATTAGTGAGCTCTGTCAATAGATTTGCAATACATCTTAATTTAACACACTGGCAAGAAGTAGCAACCTCAAAAACACTTAGTGAATGAATATCTATACATTTAGAGAAAACATTGATCTTGACAGAATAAAAAAGTCCCATTGTTGGAGGACATTTTAGCAAGCTATCACCTTTTGCAGTGTGGATCCCACTTCCTGGTAATTTTCTAAGGTGTACATGCTTGTGGGTGTCTGTTTTCATAATCTGCTCATAAACACACATCTCTATAAAAACTCATAAGGAGGCAATATAGAAGAAAGGAGTGTTCCCTAATTTTCTTGGCCTTATTTGATTGATTCCTCTTGGGTCTCATTTCTTTTGAGCCTGAGGTATGTCAGCAGATGCTAATTTTGTAGTTGTTGCTAGAATAGATAATATATTCTAGAAAGCAATCTAGTTCCTTACTTGCCATATTTATGACTTTGCCCCCCTTTTATAGATTTCCAACTGAGAACGAGGATGCACTTCTCCTAGAACAAAGGCATTGTGGGTATACACGTAAGGGATGCTCAGTAAATATTATTTTATGATATTTTCAGGAAGGAAGAAAGCTTTGAGGTGAAAATGGACTTCACTGTAGTCAGCAAAGAAAAGACAACTTTATAACATGTCCCCTTCTCAGACAGATTCAACACACCATGCACAGGATATTCATGTTCCTGAAATGCAACCACAGTTAACTAGATACACTCAGTAAATCATCTACTGGATCCTTTCTGGAACAAGAAAGGTTGTCCACATGTGGCTGACTAGTGACACCATTCCAGCCTCTTGATTCTGGAAGTATATAGGCACGCTATGGTATTTCATGGTCAACCATTCAGTGCAATGAAACTCAGCCTCCACTGCATTTCAAATAAAATTACAAAAATAATGTCTGTGCAAGGAAAACAAACAAACTGAAAAACCTAACTAGTCATACTGAGGGGCATGTAAGATTGAAATGTGGTAAATTCACAAATTGATATCCAGTGTGAGAAGCTACGGAGGAGCAAGCAGTCGCCTCTCCCTCTCTGACATTATAAGGAACACTTGGCACATCCAGCCAAAGAGCCTTTGGGCAGAATATCCTGATACAATTAGTACTTTTTATAAGCTAATTCTCACAGGGCTAGAGAAAAAATTAGAAAGAGGTCAGAAGATGAGTTACCTTTCTGGGCACTGCTCTCCCCAAGGCGACCCCAGGGGTGGAGCAGAAGAGCCCCACGTTCACCCCTGGAGTGGCGAAAGAGGACTTGTCGCTGGCCACGGCAATGTCGCAGCTGGCAACCAGCTGACAACCGGCCGCTGTGGCCAAGCCATTGATCATGGCAATGATGGGGACCGGGTGGTTCCGGATCAGCATCATGACCTGCAGAAGGAGACACACCCACTTCACTTGCATGCAGAGTCAGGAGCCACGTTAATACCTGTTATTTTATATGACTTTTCTGTTTCCAGAACAATTTTCATATGATTCTATGCAAAAAAGAATGCGAGCACTAACTTGTACTAGATATCCACGCTGAAGCATCTTTTGGTCTTTCTGGGAGCTCCATGTGGAAGGAACCCCATTTGGTAGCAAGGACATGAAGCTCAGAGGGTGGAAATCACTTGGCTCAGGCCAGTGAGGGGAGTGGAAGCCACGGGCTGAGCCCAGCTCTGTGAGGGGGTCCCCTCCGCCTTCTTCCCCAGCACTCCCACTAAAAGCAGTGTGGATTTTTGTCTCTGGGGAACAAACAAAAGCTTTCACAAATAGTTCTGTTCTCCCTGTGCCTGTGTGAAGCCCCTGTGTTAAAAGTCTGAAACTGGTATTTGGTGCTTCCTTGAAAAATTAAGGTGGAAAAGGACTTGAAGGCAATTTCCTTAGTAATTACTTCTCAAATTACCACCATGAATGCTCTCTCAGTTCTATTAAAATGGGGAGAAGGGGACACCCCGCTGTCATCAAAATAAACAAAATTCTTGAAACAGCCATTGGCACCGAGAGGGGAGACCAAAGTGTGCTCATGTGACCTTCACCGCATAAATTGCCAGAACTTTAACTTATTTTTGCAGCTTATTTTTTTCTTGATGCTCTAAACAGATTGTGTTGCTATGGCAACTTCAATTTCTAAATCATTGCTCTTTGAACCTTGGCAGAGAGGAAGGGAAGAGAGGAACCAAATCTGGGTTTTTCCCCAAGGCGGCAATTCAAAGAAAAATGACCTTCATGATTTGAAGATTTTTGCTTAGGAAACTTATTTTTTTATATTCATAAACATTTGAAATTGGATAGCTTTTTTTTCTAAAATAACCAGTGACACAGGCGCTGAATAATGACATTTTGATCAGGTACAGACTGTGTATAGGACGGTGGTCCCATAAGGTAGAAATGGAGGGGCTGGGGTTGTGGCTCAGTGGTGGAGCGCTTGTCTAGTGTGTGTGAGGCATTGGGTTTGATCCTCAGCACCACATATAAACAAACAAACAAATAAATAAATAAAGGTATTGCATCCATCTACAACTAAAAATATATATTTTTAAAAAGATATTAATGGAGCTGGGAAATTCCTGTCATCTGGTGACCCCGTAGCTATCATAACACCATAGTGCAAAGCACTGCTCATGAGTCTGGGGTGATGCTGGGGTCAGCTGGCCTACTGCACTACATATGCTAAGGAAGCACTGCACACAGAATTGGGCACAGTACATAATGCTTGGCAAAGATAAAAAACAGCTGCTATTGCTCGATGTTCAGTATACACACTTTAAAAATTATGTTTGGTGCTGATGATAGAACCTGGGGCTTTGTGCATGCTAAGCACGTGGTCTACCATTGAGTGTGTCCCCAGCTCCCAGTTGTACTCTTTTATTAGTATTTTAGAGTGCACTCCTCCTATTTTTTAAAAAGCAAATTTACAGTAAAACTATATGCTACGTTACATAGGTGGCAGCCTCATGCACCTTGAGGTTATCTCGTCTCTTGTGCTTGATTAGTCTTGTGCCATTTTACTTTTCATGGTCTTGGGTGCAATGGGCTGTACCATACCTATACGCCACATAGCCTGGGTGGACAGTGGGCTATGTGTCTAGGATTGTGCAAGTTCACTCTACGATGTCAGTCCAATGGTGAGATCACCTAACAGCACATTTCTCAGATCTGTCCCCATCATGAAATGATACACGACTATATTTAAGGCTAGCACATCATATTTCATAGTAGTCTTTTTTTAACCTTTTTTTGGGGGGGTCATTTTTTAGAGAATCTGCTAGATACTAATAACTAATCTTCCCATAAATATGCATGCATGCACGTACACACATACCTGTACACAAAACTGCTCATGAGTTGAGCAGGGTCGTGCACTTTAGAAAAAGGGTGGGGGTGGGCTTGTGATGAACTCATTCCCATGAACTGGAATAATGAAGGAAAGAATTCATAAGACCTTCTAAAGTCTTGCTGCCAAGAAAAGAAGTTTTGTTTAGTTCTGAATTTTGTTGTTCTCTTGTCCAGGAGTTACTTGTGAAAAGCCAGTCAATTGGGTTTAGAGTTGAACAGCCTACGTGTCCTGTCTGCCATCTGTGAAGGACCAGGATTTCAAAAACTGGATAGAGAAATACTTGGGTTATATGGTCCATATTCAACAACATTAAAAATGCTTATACATTTGAACTAGGGATTATACTTCTAAGATAATAGGTATAAAGCTCCGAGGTCAAACATGCTCACCAAATCATTATTTTACAATAGGAAAAAAACCTTTTAAATAATACAACTATATGAAAATAAGTAAATGGCTGCTATCATTGGGATGAGTGTCCCCCAAGAGTCCATTATTTAAAGGTTTGGTCCTGTGGCTGGGGTGGTGGCTCAGTGGTAGAGCGCTTGCTTAGCATGTGTGAGGCACTGGGTTTGATTCTCAGGATTGCATATAAAAAAACCATAAAATAAAAGTCCATTGAAAACTTAAGAAAAAAAACAGTTTGGTGCTCAGGTGGTGCCGTTGGGAGGGGAGAGGACCTGTGAGAGGGAGGCCCTTGTGGGAAGTCATTGGTGGCACGCCCTCAAAAGGACTATAGAACCCTGGTCTCTTTCTCGTTCTTTGCTTAATGACTCCTCATGTGATCGGTTTGTTCTGACACAAATTCCCTGCCACTGCCACTCAGCGTCCTCATCAAAGGCCCAAAGCAATGGACTTGAATTTCCAGAACCAGGAGGTAAACAAACCTTTTCTCTTAATAAGTTAATTGCCTTAAGTATTCAATTATAGTACTACAAAGTGACGAAAACACTGGCTATGTAAACTCAACTAAATCCACTTAACAGAATGCAGCATTGTCGGTGGTGATGGTTAATTATTTTCTAAGGGAAACACCAGCTTGGCCATCCGGGCTCATGTAGTGGTCTGGAGGCAGCCTCCTGGAATGGGAGGCCCTATCTATCTGTCACTTACTTTCTGCCTAATCCTGGATGAATCACCTAACCCTTCAATTTTCACATCTGCAAAATCAGGATAATATCAGTACCAACCATATGAAACATGGTGATTATATAAATTAATATGTCTAGAGTACTCCAAATATTACCTGAAACATTCAGTTCTTTTTTTTTCCTGTTCTTTTTTTGTAGTTGTAGATGGACAGCATGCCTTTTATTTTATTATTTATTTTTATATAGTGCTAAGGACCCAACCCAGTGCCTCACACATGCTAGGCAAGTGCTCTACCACTGAGCCCCAGCCCCAGCCCTGGAACATTACAATACACAATTATATACTCTAATCACACCTATATGTGATTATTCAAACAAATAGGTACATAGGGAAAAGTATTAAAAATAAATGCAGCAAAATATTAGTTACAGGGGCTGGGGTTGTGGCTAAGTGGTAGGGCACTTGCCTAGCATGTGTGAGGCACTGGGTTTGATTCTCAGCACAGCATATAAATAAATGAATAAAATAAAGGTCCAACTAAAAAAGAAAAACACATAAAATATTAGTTACAGTTTTCTCTAGGTAGTATGATTATTGGGACAGAATGAATTCGGTATTTCATTGTTCAGTTCATGCATGAAAAAATTTGATTTTGGAAATGGCATTAGTAATTTATTTTTTTTCTTTGTTTTTCTAAATTTTCCAAAATTTTCTGTAATGAATACTTATAATTTTTATAATTAGAAATATTTTAAATAAAGTTAGAAGGCAAAGGGAACCTAGATAATAAGTAAAGATAATCAAACTCTTGGTCATCAGTTATACCTCTGCTCTCACCTTCCAGAAGTAAGTACTGGTTTGGGTTCTACTTTAGAATGTGACATGATGTGCAGGCTGGCCCACCTGCGTTTAAAAGCACTATTAAGAGTTCCAAGTTATTTGGAAAAATGAGAGACTTTGTCCCACTGTCATTTCACTGATGGTGTGTAAGAAGAAAGAGAAGCATCTCCCTGAGGATGAAGTTTCCGTCAAATTTCAACAGGCATAAGAAGAAAGACTGATGATAAGCCTCTTGGGTGAGCCATCAGTGCTCCAGAAGGTCACTTTAGCTATTCTGTAACCAGGTTCTTCTTATTCTCCTTCTTAATTTGCCCTCCTCTTAATTTGTAAATAATTAACCATCATAGAGCACTTGGGGTCTGTAACAAATTTCCTAGAGTTTTTAGATGGCAAGCTAATTCAGATGCCTCTATCTTCCTTTCTAAAATCAAATTTTCTCGTGCATGAATTGAACAATGAAATATCGAGCTCATTCTGTTCCAATCTGCTTGTTGATTACACTTGGAAATTGAAAACTTGCACAAGTTCGTCGTGCTCGTATTTATTCAAGACGATCTGAATTTCTTAGAGATTGTGTTAAAGAAATCAATTCCATAGAACTCCTATTTCACTTTTAGGGCTAGGTCCCATTTATGTGTTGTCTTTCCCAGCGAGCCAGAGGCAGCCATAGAGTGGAAGCTTCCAAGAAACCGTCTTGGACTTGATCCTCTGAAGAAGCCCTGGCTGCTTCCCATGAGGCCCTTTGCCAACTTGTTCAGATCTCAGCTCATTGACATACTGCAGCAGAGTGATAAAAGCTGTCCCTTTAGGGAGGGCAGGAGGTGCTCCTGGTTCTCTTCATGTGTTTTAATTTTAACCACACACACAGGGTACTAGTAGAAGACTACTTTTTAGTCTGGGCACTGTGGTGCATGCCTGAAATCCCAGTGGCTTGGGAGGCTGAGGCAAGAGGATTGCTAGTTCAAAGCCAGCCTCAGCAGCTTGGTGAGGCCCTAAGCAACTCAGTGAGATCCTGTCTTTAAATAAAATGCAAAATAGGACTGGAGATGTAGCTCAGTGGTCCAGTGCCCCTGAGTTCAATACCCAGTACCAAAAAAAAAAAAAAGAGAGAGAGAAAAGAAAAAGAAAATATCAAGATATCAAGTGTTGGCAAACTGTTGCATAAACATTAATAACATAGCAAACAAAAGCCTCAGTCCGAGCCCTAGCTTGCTTCCGCCTCCCCATGAAGCTTCAGGTAAACCACTTTTCCAGTTTGTCCTTCCATGAAATGAGAAAAGTATAATCTGATCTGCCTGTGGGTTTCTGGAAGGACAAAGAAAACCAATGGTTGTCAAGAACGTGTCTATAACTCCTTCCTCTTTGCCTCTGTCTTGTCTGCATGGTAGCTGGCATTAAATATTAGTTGAATCATTAACCACCAAATAAACCAACATGTGAAGGAAAGATTAAGTTATCTCAGGGTCAGGTGATGGAATGTTTCACATGTCCTGCTTCCCAAGTAGACTTGCCAGTGTCAGTCTGGCAGGACCCTTTTCCTCTCTATATTTTCCTTAGTATTATGCTTGAAGTAGCATAAGTAAATGCTCATGAAACAAACAATGTGTTATCTAAAGTTGGATTCTATATTCAATTTTTTATTATCCAAGGGTTGAATTAACACATTTATAAATCAACCAAAGTTTTTTTTTTTTTTTTAAAAACCCTTTTCTTCCTCTAGTTATTGGCAATTTTTCTCCTTAATATGGTAAAAGGAGCAGAAAACAAGTAAAATTGAAGAGGTTAATTTTCCTCCGAGGCAGTGGTGATTATAAAGATTGGTTAATTTATTTAAACAATTATTATCATTTCTAGTTACAAATATTCTCTTTCCCATTAACAGGGTTGTTTTAATTTAAACATTTTAAAATTATCATTGCTTTAGGTCCTTCCTCCCTAAAGATGTACATTTTTATTCTTCCCTCTTGCTCAAAACCTGGACACCAAGGCACTTGCTCACGGTGCTGGACCTGGCTACAGAGAACCATTGGGTAATTTATTTTCTTTGGCACATAAAACCAGTAGCAAATTATGGTCACTTCTTAAAAGTATAATCCAAATAATTGCTGGGATGAAGGATTCACCGGTGACCGTGGTGGACAGGTTTCCTAGATAAAATCTGATCTGTAAACAAGGAGGCTGACCCAGGGTCTCAGGTTTGCAATGTCCACGCTTACCCTGGCTTACCTCAGAACAGATCCGAAACACTTCCACGTGATGATCATGGCCTTGCTCTTCTGTTAATTCCCTTAAATCATGACCAGAGGAAAACACAGGGCCCTCAGCTGTAAATGTTTCCAAGTGAGAAAAGAAAAGATGTCAACAGCAGGGGCAGATCACTCACTCATTTATCTACTGAGCAACTTTAATAACCAATCATATCTATGCAGAGAAAATGGCACAAGTTTAATAAGAATACTCTCGGGGCATGTGGAAAGTTACAGCCAGAATACTGTGATGGAAACACAAAGTGAAAGGTTTTGGTGACCAAGGGGAAGGCACTTATTTATTTATTTTCAGTACTGGGGATTGAACCCAAGGGTGCTCTTTCCCTGAGCTACATCCCCAGTCCATTTTTTCTTTTTTTCTTTTGAGGCAGGGTCTTGCAATTGCTGAGGCTGGCCTCAAACTTTCGATCCTCCTGCCCTAGCCTCTGGAATGGCTGGAATTACAGGAGTGCACCACAGTGCCTGGTAGGAAGGTACTTATAACAGAGATAACTGTCCCTCCAGTGTCCGGCTTCTGTTTTTGGACTCCGTCTCGCCTGAGTGAACCAACTCACACAGGTCCTTGAAAACCACCATACCTTAGAAAATGTGCTTGTCATTTAGCATACAGGTGAAGGACACTCACAGGGGTTGAATCAGGAAGGTCAGAGTGTGAAAAAAGCTTGGGAACCATCTGGCTCAAGCTCTTTGTTTTACGGAGGGAGTGGAGGAGGTGGCTGCCCCCACTGTCATCTGCAACAAAATGCCATTCTACAGGTCAGCGGCGAACACTTTCTCATATTGATTGCCCTTTGGTTGTGGTTATTTGGACAGGCAATATATCACCTTTCCATGGGGGAGAAAGTAGTGTAGTTAAGAAGTTAGAGGCCATTTCTGCATCCAGGTTATACCTCACTCGGGTGCTGGATTCTACTAGTTCTAATTTTGTTTTCCTTCACCATATAAAACAGCTGAAAATTTCTATTTGGCCATTGCTAAGAAGGTAACATTTGGAGTATCTGCCTCCAGAAATATGATTCTTGATTTACAAAACAGACAAACAAAGCATCATAGAGCATTATCGTTATATTTTTCTGGAGTTCTTCCTTTGATTTTTTTTTTTTGTACCAGAGATTGAACTCAGGGGTGCTTAACCACTGAGCCACATCTCCAACTCTTTTTAAAATTTTAGACAAGGTCTCACTAAGTTGTTGAGGCTGGCTTCAAACTTGCAATCCTCCTGCCTCAGCCTCCCAAAGGGCTGAGATTATAGACATGCACCATTGCTCCTGACTTGGGGTTCTTCAAAATGCTGACATTACTGTTATTTGTACCACCATCAGCATCACATAAGAAGATAACTCTGTAAAAACTCCTACTGGAAAAAAAGCAAGGGAAGAAAGAGATGAGCAAATTGCAGCATGCTTTCTGGGACCATTAAAGATTACCCTGTGGATATTGGGTACAAGGCTTGGTAAGAACGGAAAAGACAAATATATCAAATGTTTGAACAACCAGGTCCTAGCTGACTGTGATTCACCAGAAGGATTAATGATTAAATTCATTTTGTAAAGTCCATGAAGAAATTGATTCTCTGATTTTTTTTTTTTTTAGTTGTTAGGGAAGAAACCCAGGACCTCATGCATGCTAGGTAAACAGTCCACCACTGAGCTATAGTGCCAGTTCTGATTTGATAGGAAGACCAGCATAGCAAAGTCCCACAATGCTTAGTATTTACTAAAGAGGAAAAAACACCTGTTTTCACTGAACAGGAATCTTTGCTACAGATTTCACACTAATAGTGTTAGGACCAAGTCCCCAGGTACTCAAGCGTTTTCCACATCAAATATCTTTCAAAGGAACTTCAAAAACAATTCTCCAGTTAAGTAGGGAATGCCCTAGTTAACCAAAAAATCTTAAGGCACCTCCTCTGGGCACCGTGGGCCACTAAGGACAGACAAATACCTGAAATGATAATGACTTTCAGATCTTTGCTTTCAGCTTCATGAAGAATGTCATTTTGGAGAGATTTCAGCATTTCAAGTGACAGTGCATTCCTCTTCTTTGGATTGCTCAAGACAATATTCCTGTGAAACACATTTTATAATCCCTGGGTCATGCACCAGTCAGAACAAGTGAGGACCCCTGTGATTCCTTTCTAATTTGGGAGCTTTTAAAATCCAAGGGAAAAAAAGAAGTTTTGATGCTTAGTGCCAATTTTGTGTCTGTCAGCTCTCTGGAGTTACAGCTAAGTCAAAACAAAACAAAGACTTCCTGAATTGCAGGCTGGTTTTTCTCCCTCACCCCTTGATTTGTTTCTCCTTTCCCCCACATTTGCTGTCAGAAACAGGACTGCCACCTCCACAGAAGGGGCAAGTCACAACAATTCCAAACTCATCTCCGCCCATGGAGGATGTGAGTTTGGTATGACAGTGACAGCAGCCCGAGAAATGTGACAAACAGTGCCTACCTTCAACTTATTTCCTGGTGCTGTTCTTCACAATAAGGTTAGGAAAGGAGCCAAGAATGAAAATGCTCCCCAAACTCCTCCCACTCATCCCAAAGAAAAGGCAGCTGAGGTGCCACCGCCAATATGCACATACGAATGACAGCGATTTTTAAAAAATCTGTCTGACAGTGGCGTCCCATAATTCTGCAAAATAATTTGCATTGTCTGAGAATGGGATAATGTATGTAGGAAAAAGAAAACCTACCAGAAGAAGGTGGACATTTCACTTCACAAAAAGCTGGCATTCAGAGGGGCTGTTTGCAATTTGAAAATATCGCACATGCTGAATAAAACAACCTGTATCATTTCCTTCCATGGAAATGTCTTTATTTTTTGCTCTTATAAGAAACGGGCAATGAATCAAACACGAGATTATTGTTACATATTTTAAATTTCCTATCAGTCTCCACCTACACATGCTTTCTGCCTTCCTTATTCTGTTCTGAATCTGATATTCCCATTGCTATGCAGTCAACTTGGCTTCTCCAGAAATAGCATTCTGTGCCATAGCATTTTGGAAAGCAACTTTGATGACTGAATTTATTTCAAGGCAGTGACCATTTTCTTTGGAATACCATTTCAGTTTTGCTGCAGTTCTCAGGTGGCTGTGATATTGTTTTCTTTCTCAAAAAGATATTCTCCCATATGTACAAAGATTACAACTGATCTGCTGACAGACTTCCAGACCTATATTTGGGGTAGTGGTGGCGGAGAGCTGCTTATTACGTTCCAATGGAATAACGAGTGTGCTCACTGTAATACATACAAAAAGCTGCCATCCCACTGGTGACACATGCTTAAATTAAATTCTAAGGCCTTAGGCAAAATTGTGCAGAAAGATTCCAGTCTGAATGCCCTTGCTGTATGCACCGTAGTATCGGTTCCCGAGTGTCCCATTAATCCTTTGTGCACACATTACACACACTGTCAGAGTGTTCTAAATTGTGAAGTTCAACCAAGTTGAAAAGTGTTCCCACCACTCCACTGAAAATCTTCTCACTGGTCATCTCCTAATTGCCAGAAGCAAACTCGCTGGCCATCTGGATCACTTTCTCTTCCTGGAAATATTCCTTCTTTTCTGTGGGTTTTTAATTTCTAATTTTTTTTTATTAGGTCCTTCTCTGGCCAACCCCTGTTGACTACTTTCACAAGCACTTAGCCTTCAGTTATCCCCTAAATGCTGGCAATCCTGAGTTCCATCCTTTGCCCTCTTGCTCTATAGGGTCTTGCCAGGCAATTTCATCAATGACCTTGACTTCAGCTGCTCCATCTATGCAGACAGCTCCCAGTCATTAGCCCTGGTTCAGGCCTCTCTCTAGAAGCCAAGATATGCATGTTCACTCAGATGTCTACTAGACAGCTCCACCTAGGTATTCCTGGGGCATCTTCCTCTCACTCCTGGACTTGCCCCTCTTCTCTTTCTCTTATCTCAGTGCTGCTGCTCAATTGCCCAAGCCAGAACCTGAAAGTCATTCTAGACTTCTATCCTTTCCTTACTCTACCAGCCATCAAACCCTGTTCATAATATCTCCTAAAAATCTTACCATTCCGAACTCTCCCAGTGGCTGTCTTGGTTCAAAGTATCTGATGCCTCACATAAAAAGCGTCACCTACACCACCAAATCTACAAGGAAATTTCTTTCAGAATGAGTCACCACCAGGACATGCAACATAAATGTAGAGGCAAGAGCTATAAATGTCTGGATGATCTGCTGAAGATCATTGCTATAAACCACAGGAAGATCTGTGAAGTGAGGAACAGTCATGTCCACACATAGGAGACACTCAATAAATGTCAAATGAATTAGTGACAAAACTGCGTGTATGGCTTTCATAGCAATTCCATCAATCACAGTGGACTGACAACACATTGGCTCAGTGCCATTTCTCCATTAGATATGTAAAAATGTTGGGAACACAGAAGCAGCAGAGGGAATTCTGTCTGATTCCTGGTGATCCAACCTCCTGGCAAGTGGCCTTGAACAAGCAGTCACCTCTCTGAAAGTTGACTTCACTGTTAAACAGTTGTAATGTTATCTACCTTGCAGACCCTTGTAAAAATTAGGGATAAGGAATGCAGAGTGCCTGGTACAACACTCCATTCATAGTTGGCTCTTACTACCTGATGGCAGTATTGCCGTGAGGCACAGTTTTGAAAAGGGGCCGTTGAGGTGACCAAGTTGGTTGGGCCCACTAACAGTACCTAACACTACCGCTTTGACACTTGATTTGGGGTTTCCTTCCTAATATATGATTCCTAGAAATTATGATAGATTGCTCTAATCACTTCCCTTTCAGATTCATGTTTAATTCTGGAGAACTCAATCAGTACTTTCTTGTTAACTGGTTGCCATTACAGAAGTCAGGCTCCTGATCAGATATCTCCAGATGTATAGCAGCAGGACTGCCCTTAGAAACAGGAAAAAAGATCCTGTGTGGGCCTTGCACTTTGGAACACTGCTCTGGTCTTCTTCTGGCAATGTTCCTATTTGTCCCTACTAAGGGACAAGGAGTCCACAGGGCATGGGGTCACTCCCCTTCCAAGCCCCCCAACAGTTATAGAGATTCTAGAATTCCCTGCCCCTGTGCTGGGTTCCCCTAAGCCCAAGGATGATCAAGAACAATCATGTGCAGGAAGTGAGGGGATGGAGGGAATATGGGCATGCTGGCCCCAGAGATCTGAGACCCCTGGCAGGGCAGCAGGGCAGGGATGGAGGAAATGTAGGGGTGCAAGGAGCTGGGAAGAACTAGAAAAAGCCACAGGCCAGCGGTGACTCTCCACTCCGAGGGGGGAACACCTAGGAGTCTGAGGATTATAAATTCAAACACTGCCGTCCATGTCTGAAGGGATACTTGTCAGGGTGGGAGAATAAAAACACTTAAACAGCTTGATTTGAAACTTTAAAATTTTGAAACTTGCCTCCTTTTGTTTAGGGTCAGGACTGCACAATCTGTACTACTCCACTGTCTAATTGGCAGTTTGTGCACAGAAATGTTGGTAAGGTTTTTAGGCTTGTTGCTCAAAAGGGCAGCGCTCAGACCGGTGTATCCTTTATACTCTTTGGCCTGCTTTCGCCTCAGCACTTATGGGCGAGGGCTCAGGAGCCACTCAGCTTAGTCTACCGTCACCCCGGAGCCAGGCCAAGCTTGTGAGGGTCCCGAGCCCTCTTGTGAAGGGCTTTCTCGAAGGCCCTGGCAGCGGTGGGCGCACTCAGAGCTGGCAAATCAGCCCTAGCGTGGCGAGGCCGTCCCGGGCTGTCCATTTACGTCACTCCCGCGTGTGTCTTGCTAGCGTGCCCAGGCAAGGGACAGTAATAAACTCAGTATGTAAGCAGGGATTCCTCCCCCAAGGAGATTTATCGGCCAGATTCGGCGGTGACGGACAATCGCCGGGTCAGTGGCGGCGAGGGTAGACCTGGCTGCCTGCCCAGCGCTCGGCGGACTCAGCGGGTGCCTGCTCTGCTCTGCTCTCCGGAGTCCTGGCCCCCAGCCCCCCGGGAGAGCCCCGTGCACGGCCCGCGGGCTGACCTGATGCCGTCCCGCTGCCGCGCGCTGGTGAGCCGCGGCTCGGACTCTGGCGGCCCGGTTGCCGCCAGCCCCCGGCTGCAGAAGCCAGCAGCGTGCAGGGTCCACGCGCGGCGCAGGAGCCAGCCGGGCCCCTTCACCCCGAAGGCCCATAGGCCGGCGACGAGGGCCATGGCAGCCAGAGAGCGGCCTGAGAGGCCACAGAAGATACGTGTCCAGGGGTGCAAGCTGCGACTCGGCAGGCGACGGGCGAGACCCTAGCGGGACCAACAGGCTAGGCCCAGGCCTTGCCGTTATTCCACTCTCAGGCTGGACTCTGCACCGTCCGGCCCCAGGCCGCCCGCCCTCTGGCCCCCGCCGCGCCTGCCACCCCTGTCACTGGGCCCCCAGGATGCCCCGCCCCGGAATGCCCCGCCTCCAGGCGCCCGGAGTCCCTCCCGCCCCGCCCCAGGATGCCCCGCCCCAGGCCGCCCCGCCCCCAGGATGCCCAGCCCCGGGACGCCCCACCCCCGGAATGCCCCGCCCCAGGTGGCCCCTCCCCAGGATGCCCTGCCCAGGTCGTTCCGTCCTCCTGAAGCCCCGCCCCCAGAACACCCTGTGCACCAGTGTTCCTGATCCTAGGTCTCCGGGCTCTGCTCTGGCTGCAGCGCTGCGGGTGAAGTACCCCGTAGACTAGCTCCGCTGTTTGGTTTAGCAAGGTTGAGAAAGAGTTTAAGGCAGGAGAAGACTGGGTCAGCTTGTTTCTTTTTGCACAAACACCAGGTATGTGCCGATGCCTAGATTAGAAAAATTAGTGTCATCAGGTGGAGAGTGGCGTGAGCCGGTTACAGATTGCTTCGCCCACATCGTCCACAGGAAACACTGCCTGGCCTTTTGGGCAATCGCAGATCACAACTGAGGTGAAGCCTACTGGGGATCCACATTTACAGCTTGTGTTTTATTTTTCAGCACTCAGAACAGAAAGAGAACTCTTTTCAGGGATCTCCGTCGCTGGTGCCTGGTGCCAAACACACATCCTGCGGTGGAAAGCTTAGGGAGGGTGCGAGTATCTTCTTTGCTGTTTGGTAGTTGCTTCCTGCAAGTGTCAAATTCCCAAAGTATGGGGATTCGTGGAAGTCATGGAAAACATGGCCTTGGCCCTCGGTATGGTACTGGCTCTAAGGAAGATTCACGCTTTCCCTCGGAGTTTTGCAATGATAAATTATACAAAGGACATACTCCTCAAACGGCCACCGAGGTTAAGTAATGGCTTAAAATGGTCACAGTTGATTCCTTTGAGCGAGACTCCTTTTGATTCTTGGCTTCATGATTGGACAAATACTGTATATGGGACAATATTTTGAAATGTCAGTTGAGATCTCTGTCACCTCGGCTGCTCTCCACTCCATTTCCTTGGTTTTTGCTCCAATCAGGAAACAGGCTCATTCCTCATTCATTGCCTGGATCCAGCAGAACTCAGGGGCCTAAAGTGGGGGCAATTCTTGGCTTCTGAGTTCTCAAAGCTCAGCACTTGGGAGTTGGAAAGAACACAAAGAAGGGGTAATGGTTTTGGGGAAGCATCTAATAATTCAGAACACAACCTCCAGTCTGAAGCAAGATTAAGATTTCCCATGTTAGCAGGAGGGGGTCAGGTAGAACTTGTAGGAAAAGCAGGAAGAGGGTACCTGTTGTGGGGGTTGGGGAAAGGTGCTGGGCCAAAGCCCCCTGGAGAATTGAAGTAGTGGGAAGCCCCAGATAGGAGGAAGGCAGTCTTTCCTTTGGTAGAACCTCAGAGAAATCAGAGAGATTCCAAGTGGAATGGGCTGTCTGGGTAGATGGGCCTGAATGCCACATAGTTTCTCATGGCTCAATGTGATGATGTAACGATAGAATGGTCCCTGTCCTCTGAGTGACATGTTGAAGACAAGGTAGAAGTAAGGACATCTCACATGGATGACATCATCTGTGCTATAATTTGGATCTGAAATGTTCCCCAAAGATCCATATGTTAAAGGCTTTGTTTCCAGTCTGTGGTGCTCTTAGGAGGTGGCGTAATCTTTAAGAATTAGGTCATTTGGGGGCATGCCCTTGAAGAGGATAGTGAGAACTGACCTCTTCTTCTATCTTTGCTTCCTGAAGCCATGAGGTGAACAGGCCTCTTCTGCTACACTTTCCTGCCATGATGTACTATGCTACCATAGGCTCAAAGCAACTGACCATGGACTCAAAAGTTCTGAAACCATGAGCCAAAACAAACCTTTTCCCTTATTAAGTTGATTATCTCAGGTATTCTGTTATAATAACACAAAGCTCACACGATCTGTGTCCTTCAATTGTGCTAGAATAAGCTGAGGTAACAAAAACAATAGCCACAAAAGTAAATCTCAGTGGTTCAAACAACAAAGACTCTTATTTAAGCTACATGTCTACTGCAGATTAGCTAAAGCTCTGTGTGTCATGTCAGCACTGTCCTCACCTGGGAACTTGGGAGAAAGTTGCCAATATCAATGGCAGAGGAGGAAAAAAAATAGAATGAGGAAAAGCATGAACTGGCACTTAAAAACTCCCTTCTGGAAATGCCACTTGCTTTCAAGTTTTATTTGCCAAAGCAAGTCCCATGATCCACTGAACTTCAGGTTTGTGGGGAAACACACCCCTCCTGTGTGTTTGGAAGAAGGGAACCAGAGGCTTTGCAGACAACCCTAAATGACTACCATGACCAGCAAGCACGGCACCTGGGTGTTATAAAATAACTTATTTTTCAGGGAGCAGGGATATAGTTCCCAATTGGCTTAGATGAAGCCTCTTAAGTTTCTGCTACTAGGCAGAATGGGAATTTGAAATAGAAATTAAGTGCACACACAAAATGATTTGTGTGTGTGTGTTGCTGGGAATCAAACTCAGGATCTTGAGCATGCTAGGTAAGCACTCTGCCTGTGAACTACATCCTCAGCCCAAGTCAAGTTTTTACAACACCTGAATTTGTGCTGGGATTTGTATGTGTCCTCTTAGTTATGCCAAGTGCCAGCAATGATGCAGCTCATGCAAGATCAAAAAGCACAATCAAAATGATCACTTCTGGGAGCCAAAGATATCTCTCACCTTCTTACTAAGGTTTGTTTTGCTGGGAGGACTGCACACTTAGTTGAGACAATAATAAGAGTTGGGGTAAAGAGAGAAATGGTGTACTTGGTGTCTTCAGGGTTTGGTTTCAGGACTTGTGCAGATACCAAATATACAGAAAGCTCAAGTCTCTTAGTATAAAATGCTATATATCTGCATCTAAGCTACTCATAGGCTCTCAAATACTTTTAATCATCTCTACTTAGACTATAACTAAGACCCACACGTCACTTCATTCACCTGGATTATGTAGAACACTGCATGAGACAAATCCTTTGGCTTTTTGGAAATTCCTGCCATCCCCCTGGCCCCTGCCAGGTACTTTCAATTCATAGTTAGTAGACTCCTTAGTGTGGAACTTATAGACAGAATGTCTAGGGTTTTGAGAAAAGGAAGAAACTGCGAGTGCATTCAGAGCCTGAACATCATAGATGGAATTTAAAGTTTCAGAAACAACTTTCAATTCCAAATTTTATTTGTTAACAGAACAGTGCCTTGTTATGGAATCCCCTGCTCTGTGCCAGTGTCAATACTTGGTGCTTTAACCCCTGCCATCTCTTTCAACATTCAGAATAACTCATGGGTAGCATTAGCCCAGTTGAGAGAGGTTCAGCAGCCATGTTAGCACCACGTGCAACAGATGTAGAGTTGGTGCTGGACCAGAGGTTGGCTGAAGATGTGCTGCAGATGGAGGCTCCTGTCCTCATATAAATTTCTTTGTCTGTTCCCCACTTCTCCTAATTTCTTTCAGAGCTGTAGTCCTGGTTTGAGAGTGACAAAAACAACAAGGAAGTGGCGAATGCATTATCCACGAATTGATATAACTTGCTAGAACACTAGAACATTCTTATAAGGAGCAAGACTCTTCAAATTCGGGCCACTTCCCTAGGCCACTTCTGCCTTTTTAATTTTCATAGGTACTGCTTGTCTTTTTTCTCTCTTGTTCAGTGTCCTTCTAATCTATTTTCCAGCTGGCCCTTCTCCCCGACACAATTTGATACCCAGGTTGCTAGCAATCTTTTCTCTGGCTTTGATTGATGTGCTCCTTCCCTGGGCCACGTGGCTTTGCTGTGCAGATGTGTGTCTTTGCTACCTTTCCCTATTTCCTTTAAAGACCCACAGATGCTTAGCAGAAAGTCGCAGAAATCACACAGAATAAAAAGGCAGTTCTAGGGAGCCTGCCGTCTCAGGTTTGATGTGGGCATGAAGGAAGAGTTAGACCTCCTCAGGGTGTAGAGAAAATAAAGTGAAGGGTAGATTTTAGCTTCTTATGGAGTGGTGTTTGAACTTTTTATTTCAGGCTTTTCTAAGTCAGACATGTGACGGATGGTTCAGAGGTACAGTGGGAGAGATGTTGGACTTGGCTCTGGTGAGCATCCCTCTGGCACCTGGCTAGAGCTCTAGTCCTGGACTTTACTCTCATCCTCCTTCCTGTGTCTGTCTCCCAAAGCCCAAAGGAAGGTCAAGCACCCAGAAAGCTTTCATACTTTCATGGCTTCATACAGCTGCGGATGCTTTTCAGTGCTCTATACTCTATTTACTATATTTTATTTTACTTGTAACCCAGCAGCCGTTACCCAAATGTCTTTGGCAAACTTAAATTTATTTTGAGGGACCCATGCTTCAAGTTGAGGGGAAATTAGTTTAGAAACTAACAGGCTGAGCCATGTGCGATGGTGCACACCTGTAATCTCAGCAGTTTGGAAGGCTGAGGCAGGAGGATTTCGAGTTCAAAGCCAGCCTCAGCAATTTAGCAAGGCCCTAGGCAACTTAGTGACCCTGTCTCAAAATAAAACATCAAAGAGGGCTGGGAATGTGGCTCAAAAGAAAAAAAAAAAGAAAGAAAGAAAGAAACTAAACAGCTGAAATCAAGTTCCTTTATTCCCATTTACCTTAGCACAGATTATGGAGTTGGCTCATTTGCCCTGAAGAAAACAAACTCAGTAGCTTCTGGTGAGAGATGTGGAAGAGTGGATATAAACTGCTAATGCTGTGTTTCACAGCATGGTGGTCAGAGATAACAGGGGCCCACACCCCCTCTGATACACTATCTACGCTGTTCCCAGAGTGA